TTAGAAAAACAAATACCAAATGAATGCACCACCACTAAACCTACCTCACAAAATGTTAAAAGAACTTCTCAAGGATGAAAATAACTACCATGTTTAAATAATTAAAGAAAATGAAAATCTCAAGTGTAACAGAGTATAAAGGTAACAACCAATCATATGTAAATCCAGTATAAAGGTTTAAAAACAAAAGTAACAGGGCCCTCCCTGGTGGCGCAATGGGTTAGGATGCAACACGGCAAGCTGGCTGCAGCTGCCTCAGGATGAGTTCGATCCCCGGCCCTGGAGGAGGTGATCCATATGGCACGGCAGACCTCTCCTGACCCGCCTTCTGCTCCCCTCAGCAGTGCACTTCATCGATCTGCCTGTTCTGCTCCCCACTCTGTCTCTGGTGAAGTCTCTCAATGCCCCTCTGACTTGTATCCCAGATCTGTATGAATAAATAAATAAATATTTTTTTAAAGTAACAATATATTAAAACTACCATAGTAGTTAAGGTATACATAAAAATAAAAGGAGAGAGAAAGGACATCAGAATTAGAACATGTGATGGCTGTTAGAATGAGTTCAAATTCACATGTGATCAACTACAAGTAAAGTCTTATATACATAGGATATTACATATGATCTTTATGGTAGCCGAAAAGAAAAACCATAGTAAAAACAAAAAAATATAATAAAAACATAATGACTACTACAGAAGTCATCACACTACAACAGAAATGAACAAAAGAACAGATAAAGAACTGCAAAAACTACCAGAACACAGCTCAATGCTATCATTTACACCAACATCAACATGAGCAGCGAGAATGAGACTGTCCAAAAAAAATGTCAAGAAAAAGTAAAAGTAGCAAGCTGGCCCTAGGTCTGAGGCACACAGCCAGGGGGTACGTGGGAGGGAGTGGGGGGAAGCACACAGGAATAAGGTGGCTACAATGATGCAAGAGAGAAAATTAACTAAAACTAAATTAAAAAGTCACAAAAAAAGAATGAGACTGTGCAGAAATGCCAGTAAAGAGAGTCAAAGAAAAAGCCCTATTCAAGTGCAATGGGCAATAATAAGCTATCACAAAATAGGAAAAATATTCTGGTGCCCGGTAAAGTTTTCCTAGTGAAAGGGGTGGAAAAACCCGCTGTTGCCAACAGAACAAAAAGGAGTTTAATTTCCTAACTGTATCCCGACAAACTTGATCGGAAAGGACACTGGCAAATTGGATGACATCAAAGAAGCTTCTGCGCAGAAAGCGAAGCAAGCCCTGACATGAAGAGACACCCTGTCAAAGGGAGAAAACAAGTCCACCTGACATAAGGCTGATACCCAGGAAGAACTCACGCAACTCAACAAAACAAACAATCTACTCAAAAGATGAGCCAAAGAGCTAAATAGACACTTCTCCCAAGAAAACATAACGGTGGCCAACAGACACATGAAAAATGTTCCTCGCACTTATTGTCAGGGAGACGCAAGTCAAAACCACGGTGAGCTATCAGCTGACCTCTGTGAAATTGACCCATATTTAAAAAGACAGTATCAAGGATAAAGCAAGGATTGTGGAGAAGAGACGCCTCATGCACACTGGTGGGAATGTAGATGGGTCCAGTCCCTAGAGAAGGTAATATGGAGGTTTCTCCGAATATTAAAAGTAGAACTGTTATCGCTCCAGAAATTTCACTCTTAAGTATCTACCCAAAAAATGCAAAAACACTAATATGAAAAAAAATTGGACTCCTATATTCATTGCAGCACTGTTCAGCCAAGCTATGTGCCCAACGACAGGTGTGTGGATTAGGATGATATGGTTTATAAACACGATGAAATACTACTCTGCTGTGAAAAAGAAACTCTGAACTGTGACACACAGATAGGACTGGGGAAGGAGCATATGCTCAGTGAAGTAAGTCAAAAGGAGAAAGATAAATAAACACCCAATGGTTTCAGGGAACACAGAGAAGGAAAATAAAGGGTGGAATAGAACCTCGCCTGTAACAAACCCTAGAAATATGTCTGCAGAACTGAGATGGCGTGGGGCTAACAGCAGAGAGAGGACACAGGGCTAAACGTAGGGAGAGGACACAGTGAACAGACAGAGGCCTGTGGTGCCCTGGTGGTAGACCTGGAGTATAACTTGCACATACAGGTGTGATCCCATAACTTTAAGTCAATACAATGTTGTAGGCCAACATTGCTTCAATAAAACAAAAATAATAGAATGATTTCTGAAAATAGAGCTTTCACGTAAAGCCTGTATCTCTGCTGGGCGCATCCTAATCAGCCCCTTCTCAGTTTGCTTCTCTGTAAAGTGGGTACAGTTATTTCTTTTCACTTTGTCTGAGATGAGTAATAAACCATGTGCATGAACTAAAGCAGTTGTCTACTCTGTACTTAGAATAGAAAGAAGCACTGAGCAATCATCAGAGACGCCAGGCCACCCTCGGGGTCCCTGAGCAGATGTTCCCAGTGCCACTGGTGTTTTTACGCTGCCAACTCATTAGTAACTTTGCAACTGAGTCACCAAGGACCATTTTGTTGTTCACTCAGAGGTCCCTGTGCACTGGGAGCAGACGAAACATATATAAGAATGTTGCTGTTATAAACTTTGCAGGGAAGCAGGCTTCCCTGCCCAGGACTGCGTGTCCTTCCGACTGAAGTAAAGAGAAACCTCCTTGTCTCTAACCACTCTTATTTTTCTTGGAACTGCATAGAAACTGAAAAATCTAGTGTCGGATGCCATTTTAGAGTCAGTGAAGGAAGCGGAGATGGGGCTGGAGTCATTACAGCAAGAGCAATGAGAATGTAGAGCTCTGTTGTCAGACTTGACTGTGAAGGGGGGTGTGCGCGCCTGTGTATCTACACTGTGTGCATGTGTCAGCCTGTGTAGAGGGTAAGATCAAGTGTGAGGGGTGGAATGTGAGTGAGTTCAGAGCACACAGAAACCTCCTCATCAACTTAACACCCCTGAAATTGTCATTCCATCAAGTGCCTCTGATAAAAATTGTTAAAAAAAAAAGTTAATTGTGATATTTTTTTCTATACTCTATGAACATAGATAGGAGTAAGTATAGTCAGTTTTAAAATCTGGATTTCAGTTCACGTAGTTGACGCTGCAGAAGTTTCATCAGCAAGCATTGCTGATCTAGGGTTGTTGTAAGTGAGCAGAAATGAGAATTTTCTGCCAGGATCATTTTCTCCTTTGAAAGAACCAGTCACCGCCATCAGTTAAGGAGGCTGTTCCTACTGCAGAGACAAATAAAGGACTGTGCGGAAGGCTGTTAGAACATAAAAGAAATTAGCTTTCCTCTCATGCAGAAGTATATAGGACTTCCTCCAGTCCTGGGGTTTTGTCTGTATTTGCTTTTATCAATGTCCCCGATAAAAATAAAAAACACGTAAGCAGATCTGGCATGCAAAGGTATTAACCAGACGGCCTTTTACAGGATGAAGACCTGAGAGAGGTGGCTTGTACTGCGACCCTTAAGGAGGGTAAGTTTTGACATGAAGGAACCTCCTGAGTGTCTCTGTAATAGGGTTTCTGACAAAATGTAAATTAGAATGTAGGGGAAAGCTGAAATAGTTGTAATCAATGTCCATGACAGAGGTAGGGGACGCTATCATTTCTTTACATATTGTTGATTTTTCTGTCCCTTTATTTCTGGATGAGGCTTGGGCAAGTTTCATAAGCCAAAACTCAGAGAACAAAAGCATCAGGGGTCGGGGATTGATTGGCAAATTAGTGGGGGAAAGTTATTTGAGGAGGGAAAGAGCTAAAATTATTCAAAAAGAGGTGACTAGACAGACGCTAAGCTGAGACTGATTTTTTTTAAAGATTTATGTATTTATGCAGACAGAACTGGGGTACAGGCCAGAGGTGCAGGAAGTGAGAGGATTCACCAGAGACAGAGCGGGGAGCAGAACAGGCAGATCGACGAAGTCCACTGCTGAGGGGAGCAGCGGGCGGGTCAGGAGAGGTCTGCCGGGCCCTGTGGGTCACCTCCCGGGCGGGGATGGGGCTCGCACTGAAGCAGCTGCGGCCAGTTTGCAGTGCTGCTCTCCAAGCTGTTGCACCACCAGGGAGGGCCCAGCTGAGACAGATCCTAACCACTGAGCGCCAAGCCCGAGGTTGATCAGACTGGCGAATAAAAAGCAAAGGCTTCTTTCCTTCTGGGCTGGGCTCGTGACCCAAAGCAGCAAGGAGTAAACTTGGGTTACAGTCAGACTCCCGAAAAAAAAATTCTTTATACCACTTCAGAAAATCCTCTGCCCAGGCAGCCCCAAAAGTGACTTCTGAACACTTTCTTTGCCTTGACGTGGATGAAAAAAACACAAAGATGTACCTTTGTATCTTAAGCATTCGATCCCTAGGGAGAGAAAAATCTCAAGTGCAAAGAGCAGAACTTATACTTTCAAATGAACGTGCTGCTGTTAAAACCAAACATAAATTCAGATGAACGACGTGACCTTGAGCAAGACGGAGAGCACCTGGGCGGGGACTGACATGGCCTAGCGGGTGGTCCTGGCCGCACAGGGTCATCCGGCTTGATGGGCAGGGGGAGGCTAGAGGCAGGTAGGTCAGGAGACACATGAGAAGTCTCTGTAGTTTCCTCTCAATGTTGCTGTGATCTTAAAATTGCTCTAAAAAAAGGTTTCATTTTCAAACATAACACAAATGCCTATTAACAAGATCTTCCCGGTTTTAAACATGGAGCATTTCCATAGGGTCCCCAAAAGCATCAAAAGATGAGAGTAGGAGAAAAAAACTTCCAAGATGATGCTCCTTCCCGGGGAAAGACACGTGAAGCACACATCCCTGAGCAATGTTGTCCAGAATTGCCTGCCTGACATATGAATGTGTTTTATTGTGCTTTTATCGAAGGCGCTGTGACACTGAACGTCGACTGAGTAAAGAAGGGAGCGCGGTGCCGTGAGGGGCTGTTTCAGGGCTAACTCTGCCTCTTCCCACCCTTCCCTCGGCAGCTGGCTCCTGCCATCCCCGCAAGCCGTGATGGCAAATCGCACAGTAATAACCACATTCATCCTTCTGGGACTGACCGATGACCCGAAGCTGCAAGTTCTGATTTTCGTATTTTTGTTTCTCACCTACATGTTGAGTGTGACTGGAAATATCATCATTATCACCCTCACTCTCCTGGATGCCCACCTCAAATCTCCCATGTACTTTTTCCTCCGAAACTTCTCTTTCTTAGAGGTGTCGTTCACCACCGTCTGCATCCCCAGATTCCTGTACATGATGGCAAGCGGAGACAACACCATCACCTATAATGCTTGCGCCACCCAGTTATTTTTTATTATCCTCTTTGCAGCCACCGAGTTTTTCCTCCTGGCCGCCATGTCCTATGACCGCTACGTGGCCATCTGCAGGCCCCTGCACTACACCACCATCATGAGCGGCAAAGTCTGCACGGCGCTCGTCCTCTGCTGCTGGCTGGCGGGGCTGATCATCATCCTCCCCCCGCTTGGCGTCGGCCTGAAGCTGGAGTTCTGCGACTCCAACGTGATTGATCACTTTGGCTGTGACGCGACGCCCATCTTACAGATAACCTGCTCGGACACAGTATTAATCGAGAACATTGTTTTGATCTTTGCGGTTCTAACCCTCATGATTACCTTAGTGTGCGTGGTTCTCTCCTACACGTATATCGTCAGGACCATCCTAAGGCTCCCGTCAGCCCAGCAAAGGAAGAAGGCGTTTTCCACCTGCTCGTCCCACATGATTGTGGTCTCCATCACCTACGGCAGCTGCATCTTCATGTACATCAAGCCTTCAGCGAAGGAAGGCGTGGCCATGAATAAAGGGGTGTCGGTGCTCACCACTTCAGTTGCCCCTTTGTTGAACCCTTTCATTTACACACTTCGAAACAAGCAAGTGAAAGACGCCTTCAAGAACACAGTAAAACGAATTGCTTTTCTCACAAAGAAGTAAGCTATTATTGATGTGGATCAATTAAGATCAGTTAAGCTCCTATCTGAACAACTCGAGGGTGGCATTCATGAATTTGCCAAATAGTTTCTTCCTGTTCTGTAGATGTAGTGATCTTTTCTCTTGTAATCCAAATGGCCAAACTGAACTACTTGTTTCTCCTTCTTTTAAGTTTATTTTATTCGTAATGGTTTCTTTAATAAAAATCTCTTCTGAGCCCTCCCCAGTGGCAAGGCAGGTGAGGACGAAGCACCGCAAACTGGCCACAGCTGGCTGGTACAGACCAGAAGTGTGGTGGGCGAGAGGATTTACCAGAGACAGAGTGGGGAGCAGAAGAGGCAGATTGATGAAGTCCACTGCTGAGGGGAGCAGCGGGCGGGTCAGGAGAGGTCTGCCGCGCCATGTGGGTCGGCTCCCTGGCCAGGATTGAACTCGTGCTGCAGTGGCTTCCGAGAGCCCCATAATGCAGTGCTGTAACCTGTTGCGCCACCAGGGAGGGCCCATAAATAAATAAATCTTTTTTTAAAAAAATGCATTCTAGAGATAAGGTTCCCAAAATCCTCTATGTCATAAAGGGAGCTACAAATAAACAAATTTGTATTTCTGACCAAACAACCTCTCATCGCGTGGAATATAAATGCTCGGACACTGTTTCTCAGTTCTTGCTGTTCTCATTCCCCAGTTACGCAAGGGTCAAGTTCCTTCCCCAAATCTTGCACAGAGTGTATTCTGTATATTTCTGTCTTGTTTGAAAATGTCTGTGACCCTACTCTGGATTGCATCTCCGGCCTGATTCACACATCTACATCGTTTTCCTAAACCCAGTGACAATGTCTCCTCCAGTTCCCAAGTACACAATTAGAGTTTCCACCCTGAGTACATAATCCTTTAGTGAGCTTTATATTTTACAACACATTCATCCTCAAGTGCTTAAACACAACAGGCCAGTAATAAACGAACATATCAACACTAGCACATTTACCTGCTAGTGTGCAAGAGTATAGTAATTCCTTTTCAGGGAAGATTAGAAAATGTAGAAAAAATAAATACAGACAGAGGAAGAGTGAGAAAAGTTTCAGTGACCAGAATGGTCCCAGGTGATAGGTACCCAACACAGTGTCCTGTAAAGTCATTTCAAGCCTGGATCAAAAGAAAAAGACTGAGATTCAGAGAACAGGGAAGTTGCAGGCACAGCGACTTGACTTCTTCATTTTGCACTTTTCCCTTTAGGATCAGTCCCTGAGTCTCTCTGCACTTCCTGGGATGCTCCCAGCTAGCAGGTAATGAGAGACTGTCCCACTTTCATGGATGCTGTGCAAAAACCAGCAGAGAGGCATCTGATGCAACTGGACAGAGTCCAACTCTCACTGGGAAGGAACAAGCTACGCTTCCGTAGCCTCAGGAGAAAGACACCTCAAGGCTAGTTGTGGAGAATGTTTTCCAACAGCTAAGTGAAACCCATTCTTGCAAAAACCTAACTGAAGTCTTCTGGAAGGATCCAGTTTCGTTTAAATTTAAAAAAAAAAATGTGAACCCTGGAGACAGTGACTACAGAGGGGAGACATTTGAATAACTGAACTGTGGTTAATTATAGCCTGTTGAGGCACTCCGAACTTGAAATAGTGCAGGTGGCAGAGGAAACATGGAAATAAGGGTTAGAGAACTTGAACTTCTACTTTAGACTCTGTTCCTAACAAGCCTAGTGGCTACTGACCCTCAAAACTCTTTCTTCAAAGTTAGAAAATCAGCCAAAATAGCCTTTACAGCACTTCACATCTCTCAATTTAAAAAAATTTCTTAAGTCCTTGTGATACAGGACACCCCAGAGTGAACTGGCTGCCAGTCTGTGGCACCTCAACCGTACGCTTAAAATTTAGTTGTCCTGCAGGCACACACAGAAAAGTCAATAATGGGTTTATTTACAAAAGGGAAAGGGAAAGGAAACAACCCAGGGAAAGAGAGAGAGATACAAGGTAACTAGAGTATCTCACAGGCTCAGCTGACTTGGAGCTCTGATAGAAAACTAACTGAAAGTCCCCAGTCACGTGGTCCAGAGAAGCAGTTTCCCCAGCGAGAAAGCGAGGGACGCAATGGCGCCCTATTTATCCCCCAAAGTCCCAGAATGCTGCTTAGCTCCGCCCCTAGGTCCTCGCATTATAAAGATTTAAAAAAGCATATGTTTAAATTAGAAATAAGGTATATATTTAAATTTCATAAAGTCATGGGGGTTACACCTGAAATAAAAAAGCACATATTGTACAAAAATGAAAAGTGACATTAAATATATATCTAATAATAATAATTTTAATGGACACTACAAAAAAATAATAAAGTTCATAATGCTTTTTAGGTATTCAAAATGGTAAAGCCAGATGTAAGGAAAAATAGGTAAAAACAAAGAGAAAGTATTTGTTACTCCTTGCTTCTGTGTTCCTGCTGCATGATCAGATGACCCCATTTTATTAATGACGTTTCACTTAACTATGCTGGTGACTGCCACATGGTGTCCATTGCTCCCATCATATAACAGAAGCGCTGACTCAATCCCAAATGTACCATGTGCATCGTAACAATTCACCATTTAGTAAAAGATGTTAATATTAGGGTGTCTGGGAACTCTCTGTATTAGCATTTTAACTTTTCATCTAAAACTCTTCTAAGTGAAAAAACTTACTTTCAACAAATCAGAATTAAACAGTTGGATTTGGCAAAAAGGTTTTTTTTTAATCAATGGCAATCGTATTTAATGTTTGAAGGGTGAATTATTTTCTGTTGACATTTGAATCAAGGTAAGGATGCATGAAAGATTTACCTCAACTACTGAATATTTGTTTAAAAGATTTATTTATTATTTATGCATACAAAACTGGGGTACAGGCCAGAGGTATGGGGAAGTGAGAGGATTCACCAGAGACAGAGTGGGGAGCAGATATACTGAAATACACTGCTGAGGGGAGCAGTGGGTGGGTCAGGGGAGGTCTGGTGGGTCACCTCCAGGGTGGGGATTGAACTCAGGCTGTAGTGGCTTCAGCTTCTTAGTGCTGCGCTTTAAAACCACTGTGCCACCAGGGAGGGCCCCAACTACAGAATATTTTAATGCAAGTTTTAATCAGTGAAGTTAGGCTGGAAAAATAAATAAAAGTTATAAGTATTGGAAGAGATTAATCAAAATATCATTATTGACTGATAATATTGTATGTAAGTACACATATATGCACGTGTACATACTATATAATACACTTACATATCTACAGTCAACATGTGTGTGTGTGTGTGTGTGTGTGTGTGTAAGGGTCACAGACAAATGCAGGTATATAAAATCTCCTTTCATTGCTTCTGTAAAAAACCCTAGATTCCTAAGGCTCTTCACATGCCTTGGGAATTAGACCTATAGTCACTTATCTAATTAATTACTCTAATCCAAAAATACAGTAAAAATTCTCTGTTCTCCCCCCCAGAGAGTCAAATGGTTACAATCACAGTCTCTGGGTTAAACCCCCAGGTACCAGGAACACTGACTATCTCCCTCAGTATTTATATTTCAAAAAGAAATAAGCCTCCAAAACTTGGAGACCTCTAAGGTGAAAGTTCAGTAAGTGCCTGTCTAGCTGATGGAGATACACACGTAGTGGCCAGTGTGTATCACTGGAGTAAGATCTTTCCTGGAGTGGACAGGACAGAACTCTTTTCCCTTTATAAACAGAGAGGAGTCGTTTTCTTGCCCCTTTCTTTTAATTTTATTTTACTTTTTAATTATATTTTTTATTTTTTTACATCATTCTTCATTCTGTTCCTTGCCCCTTTCTCGGGGTGTATCATGGCTCACACAGGATGTCTGACCGGCTGTCATCACCTCATCCCAGCGGTAAGACTTAGGGCAGGGGCCCAGCACACTTAACTATTGGCTGAGAGGTGACTCCTAAGAAATCTGTCTCTGCTCTGTAACATCTCCTGACACGTTCAAGATCAAACTAATAGAGATAACTATTAAAATCAGAGAGAAGTAGAGTTTTAATAACTTAGTTTCCATTTAAAGCTAGTGTTTATAGCAACATACGAAAATAAAATGTACGATCTACATGTCAAAAATAAACCCGTAAAATATGAAACTGAAAAAGATACCATTTCAAAAGTCAAATAGCTATGATTAAATATATGTAAAACTTCTTGGAGTAAAATATAAAAAATTTTGGAGGCATTTTAAAAAATCTAAATAGATGAGTAAATATACCAAATTTATGGGCTAGAAGACACAGTGTCAAAAACTAATCACTTTTCACAAGTTTTTTTTATAGGTCCAGTGCAATCCCAATAAAAGTGCCATTTGATTTTTTTGCAAAAATTGACAAACAATATTTCTAGTGAGTTACAAAGAACCAAAAGAAGAATAACAAAATGAAGGACTTTTTCTACCAGAGGTAAGGAATTATTCTAAACCTTTGCCATTAAGATAATATAGTGCCAATATAGGAATACACAACTAGACCAATTTGACTGCATTGAAATTAAGACTCTTTTCATCATAAAAACTCCACAAAGAGAGTGAAAAGTAGAAGATATTGCAACTCAGACAATCCAAAAATGTAGTTATATTCAGAATCTATAAAGAAATCTAATATACCAATAGCAAACAGACTGATAATCTAATTTTAAAAAAAGAAAGAAATGAATGAAAGACTTGAATAGGAACCTCAAAAAAGAAACTATAAGTGATAACCACAGAAAAGGAAATTAAAAGCGCATGAGTTGTACTCCATATCAATCAAGGAGGTAAACATTAACCATCTGAACCAGCAGAGGAAGACAATACAGGGCAGAGTAATTGAATACACCAGAAATTATGATGTAAGAAATATTCAACCACTTTGAACTCAATTTGCCACTAAAGCTATTTACCCAATAACCCAACAACTCAACTCCTGGACAGATTTTATAGAGAAAATTGCAGGCCAGAATCAGTATAGATGTACATTTTGCTTTTTCCCCTAAGTGAGAATATTTTC